TGAAAAAAAAGAAACTTAAACTAAATAAAATATAATATGAACAATATATTTAAATTATAATATGAAATAAATGTGTACAAGTTACAATCATAATTTGCAATATAAATATACACAGAATTTGTTATGTTACTATACATAATTAACTACTGTATACATTGTATACTATTTTTCTTTCTATTTACATAAGTATTAACATAGTTATACTCAAATTAAGAGAGTATTCATTCTAAATGTGTATAATATCTAATAAATTTATTAATTTATGCAATTTTAAGACGTGAAATGTACATTCATAGGAAGTAACACCTAGCTAAAAACCAATGTTTCCCTATTAACGCAATTAATGCAAGATTTCTGTGATAATATTGATAAAGTTTCACGTACGTGACAAAATGCAAAGAGTTAAATTTGCCGCTTTCTACGCAAGCGTAGTTGTTTAGCGTCTTCAAACTGATAGAGTGTTGAACGCCATCTTTATTGGTTTTATGAGACGCGCGGGGTACAGCGGTGGATGTGTCAAATCGCGAGATCCACTACAATATCTGGATGAACAATGGTGTTTATACAGGAAAGATGATTTTTAACGTCCGATTTCGATGTAAGTAACACATCATATTTAGCAATGATGTGAAATATCGTGCAACTTTGAACATATCGATTTGTGTCGGTCAATATTACTGCCAGCACGAGATTTCATGACCAGCTATCGTTCGTACGGTGAAAACTCATTTAAAGAGACAAACATGTGATAGAAATCATTAACACAGATGATCTCTTCATTTCTTTGCAACGTGTCAATTCGTTTTCTAAAAATTAATAGAGAGACGTGAAGAAGTTTATTTTAAGAAGAATTTCTTGACAATAGATACCATCCATTTTGTTTATGCATCTTCGGCACGTCTCGTCCCAAAAACATTGCATTCCGCTTTCATCTTATCGTTTTTGAATGTTGTTATTTATGAAAACACAAAATTAGAGTGGAATAGATTTATATTGTTTTCATTACCGTTAGGATACAATTTAAGTGTATTCTTGATATTATTATTAGCAGAATAATTATCGTGTGTGCAGTGAATATGAGTATTTTGATTTAGTGTTTATATGTCATCTTTTTCATGATTTTATTTATTTCGTTGAATGTTTATGTACATCGTTATTTTTCATAAATTTAGGAGAAGATTATTTCTATGAACCATTATATATTTTATACATGGTAATATGTGTTTATGAGTTGCAATGAAGTGTGTTTGTATTTTGGAGTAACATTACTCACTGGTAGTGTAAATTACAAACGAATATTCTCCAATTAAATTGATTGCTTTTAATTATAAATTTTAACTTGTGTTTTTCATTTTTAGGTGTATAAATTAAGGAAAAGATGGTTAGCAACATTTCACGGGGTACTCCCCGTATCCAGGTCTTCAGACCCACATTTGAGGAATTTAAGGATTTTACCAAGTATGTGGAGTATATGGAAAGTAAAGGAGCCCATAAAGCTGGCTTAGCAAAAGTAATTCCACCTCCTGAGTGGGTTCCTAGAAAAGGAGGTTACAATTTAGATGATTTAGATCTGACTATTCCTGCACCAATTTGTCAGGTGGTAACTGGCAAACAAGGTCTTTATCAACAAATTAATATACAAAAGAAATCAATGACTGTTCAGGAATATAGTAAATTGGCCAATTCTGAACGGTATAGCACACCTCGTCATTTTGACTATGAAGATTTGGAAAGGAAGTATTGGAAAAATATAACATATGTGGCACCTATATATGGGGCTGATGTGTCTGGTTCATTAACTGATTCAGATGTGAAGGAGTGGAACATTAATCACTTAGGGACAATACTTGATTATGTGAACAAAGACTATGGTATATCCATTGATGGTGTTAACACAGCATATTTATATTTTGGAATGTGGAAAACAACATTTGCTTGGCATACAGAAGATATGGATTTGTATTCGATAAATTATTTACATTTTGGAGCCCCAAAGACATGGTATGCTATACCACCAGAACATGGTAGAAGATTAGAAAGACTAGCTAGTGGTTTCTTTCCATCAAGTTACCAAAGTTGTCAGGCTTTCTTGCGTCACAAAATGTCTCTCATTTCTCCACAAATATTAAGGCAATATTCTATTCCATGTAATAAAGTAAGTTTCTAGGGTTTATTCAAACAAAAGGGTGTTCAGGGAAAGGAAATATGTAGTGTAATTAATCGTTTCTTCTTCTATGTAGATAACACAAGAAGCTGGAGAAATAATGATCACTTTTCCTTATGGATACCATGCTGGCTTCAATCATGGATTTAATTGTGCTGAATCTACAAATTTTGCAGCACCACGATGGGTGGAATATGGTAAAAGGGCTACACAATGTACCTGCAGTAAAGATATGGTTAAAATATCTATGGACACCTTTGTAAAACGTTTTCAACCAGAAAGGTAATAAAAGAAAGTTTTTAAAAACACATATAATAATTGAAATCATTCCTTCATTATTGTAGACAATAGAGTAAATTAAGTGAAAGCAATACATTACAGATATGAATTGTGGTTACGTGGTGAAGATATAGGTCCTCACCCTGAAGATCCTAAACAAACAGCAGCTCCTATGCCTTCTCAGATGGATCTTTTATGTAGTAACACTAGCAATGGACAATTGCCGCAGAGCTATTTGAACGCTGCTCCGAAAAACAAACGGCATACGATACATAAAAAGAAGAATATAATGGTCACGAACCCGGATGTTGATATGGAAGAGTTGGTAAACCGTCCTGATATTCCAGCAGATGTCAAAAAAGTGTTGCAAGATTTGGAGTTAGAAGAAGTAGATGAACAGCAGTTAGAAGTTTTAGAAGATATATGGTTGAAAGCGGGGGAACTGGGTAAAAAATGTGTTTGTTATACGCATGCATATTTAATTTCCTTTTAAATAGTAACTACGAATACTTTAACGTGGTATTTTTATCGTTAGATGTGCATGAGGCTTCCGTGTATGATGATGGCTATAATCGCAAAAAAAGCAGGAAGCGAAAAAAGAAGAACGCTGATAAAGATAAGTCGAAGTCCAAAAAGGATGCTAATAAAAGTATTATAGAAGAAGTTATTGTGAAGACTGAAATAAAAGAGGAAGTAGATGACGGCCATAACTTCGTGCCCTCTGCATACCCGGAACAAAGTGCTCACTTAGATAACAGCGATCAAGGAAGTTCAAACCTAATAATACCACACGATAGCATCGTGAACAATATAAAAGTGGAAGAAAGTTCAGACTTTTCAGAAATCATCGATAAACCAATGAAAAAGAAAAAGAAAGTTTCGAAATCTGGGGAATCAAAGAAGGTGAAGTCAAAGACCACGAACAAAACCAAACGAAAACATTTGAATATGTCTATCTTCGATACAAACGAGCCTTTAGATGTATCTGACGCTGACGTACAACGGCAACTAATGGCTATGCCGAGTCTTAATTCACATAAATCCTCGACTGTTAAAGAGACCTCCAGTCATTTATCAGGAAGTATAATCTTCTCTGATGACCAAGTTAGTATAAATCCTATCAAGGATAAAACTATTATAAATATTACGAACAGCAATCAAATTATAAGTCCTGTATATGGAGACACAAAAGGAACTGATAAGCTATTGGAAAGTACTGTGGATACGAACTTGTACGCGAAAAATCCAAAGAAATCTAACGTGACCACTATGAAACAAACATTTTCCAAGCAAACTCCGTTGAAAAAAACACTAAAATCGATAAAGCCGTGGAATCCGAATACATTAGTGAAGATACAAAAATCACTATACAAGAAACTAAACCTATCAGTTATACTAGCTGCAAGAGCGTTGGAACGATTATAACCGAAAGGCCCATACCTAATTATTCGAAGAAGGATATAATAAAAGCTCCTAGATTGAGCGTGTTAAAATCAGCGTACAACATACCTGCGACTGAAGTTTCTTCCAAGGTTGAGTCTGAAAAATTGATCGGGGAGGAGAATGATACTCGTACAGCACCGAACAATGTAGTAGTTTTACCAAAGACTTGGCCTATTGCCAAACCACGGGAGCCTAAGCTCTCTGGTCCAGGCATTATGTTTTTAAATACGAGCTTCTCTAACCCGCCGATTTTGCAGAAGGAAACTTCGGTGCAGAAAGCAGGAGGCGAGGCGAAGACCGTGGAATTATCAAAACCTGTAACTCAGTGTGCTATTCAAATACCACGGTTAGAAGGTTTCTTCGCAAAGAATGCAGTATTGGCTCAGCCACTGGTGCAATCCGTAACGTGTATAAGTGGAACGAGTACGGATGTTAAGAGTCTTGGAAAGAGATCTACCACGGATACCTCAAAAATGATGGCGACCAAATTTTGGCAACCGTCAACTAGTAACAACAGTTTATTCTTCTTAAAGGATACAAGAGACGAGAAGCAGGTTAATTCTAATGTCTCGAATTTGGATGCTCTTGAAACATCTTCGTTAAGTTTAACAGGCAACAACACGTTCTTCTTAACCACCTCGCAAAAGTGTACGAACATCTCATTGAATCCTCAATCCTCTATGATGATCGATTTTAATAAGAAATGTCTGCAGACCTCTACATCTGTTCCAAATACGGGACCCCTTTTGAAAATCATACCAAAATCACAAGATCAATTATACGTGAAGAAAACATTGAATCAGATAGAAGAGGCGTACAAAAGAAAAGCGTTCAAAAGTACAAGCACAGTTGTCAGTAACGTTAAGACTGTATCGACGCAGGTGGACAATCCACTGGAGGTTAACCAACTTGGTAAAAATATGAACGTAACGAGTTTGAGCACTGGCACGCAGTACACTACGAATCATTCCATGTCAGACTTACAAGCTTCTCAGAAAACGATTACTATTCCGCCCTTGCAACAGGAGCAATTTCCGAACGTAATCGAGGCACACGAGAAATTACAAATTATGGATAATATATACGCGAATATGCCATCGTTGAAACCTATCAAACTGACCTCGTCTAGGCGAAAATCAAAAGAGAAATTAAAGAAGGCGACCACTAGGAAAAAAGAATGTGTAGAGACGAAAATTCTCTCGACGACGATGAACATGGAGGATTCGAGTCCGCTTACATGTTCCATAGATCAACCATCTTCTGTGTCTCATCGTGTCTCAATGGTACCAGGACATATATCGGACATGTTGTACCCTAGTGTTCCGAATAACGATCTGTTAAAGGCGTTTAACGATTACTGGAGTGCTCAAATTTCTCACTGCGCGATTTGCGCACCATTTACCTCGAATTGCAACGGACACGGCAGGTTAATGCCGCCGGATTGGAAATATTGTAAACCCACCGTTTTACCAGAGAGTTCACCGATATGGGTAAGCGCCACTTGTCCTCTCAATTTAACCATGAATGATTTAATGAATAGAAGAAATTTTATTTGAACTTATTTTTTCTAGGTATCTGCGAATATATTCGTTGCAAATGCAAAGGAACAAATTGTTGAACCGGAAAATGATAAACTTTTACGTTGTAGAGAATGCCACGTGACTGTTCACGCCTCATGTTACGGAATCACTGTATTACCCACAGATCTACGAAATTGGGCTTGCGATAAATGTAAAGCTGGCAAATCGCAAGTGGTGCGTATCTGTAAGATTACTTCTTTTGTTATTCATCTTGATGAATCATTTTTAATTAATTTGTTTTGTTGCAAAGATGTGCTGTTTATGTCCTATGCGTGGGGGTGCTCTTAAACGCACCAGTGATGGTAATTGGGCGCATATATTATGCGCTCTTTTATTACCAGGTGTAACTTTCAAGGATGCCATAAATAAGGATCCTATCAATGTGCTTACCATTAAACCAGATAACGTGAAACAACACTGTTGTTATTGCGGTCAAAAGGATGGAGCGTGTCTTAAGTGCAATCAATGCAACAATCTGTTTCATCCGTCATGTGGTTTGGTCTCTGGTGCCACGTTTACGATACCCGTGTATAATTCACCAGAACTTCAGGTATTCAAAAGAACATGAATATAAATATTAATGAAGTACATATTAAGTTACGTTGACATAATAACGAAAATTGTATCGGTAGGTAACGTGTGACGGACACGATGACGGGAAGGAAAAGATACCAACAATTCGACAAGGAGAAATTGTTTGGGCTAAGCATCGTAATACACGATATTACAAAGCCAAAGTGGATTCTATACACGATACTCTGTTTTACATGGTCACATTCAGTGACGATAGTTTTAGCGAAGATTTGTATCCATCAGATATTACGGTAAGTGTACATATACTAATTCTTTCTTTTAATTGTAAGTAGGAAAGGCATATAAATATTTTTGATATTTGCAGAATTATGATCCTGGAAACCCACCGCAACAGGGGGCTGCAGTCGTTGTAAAATGGACAGATGGAAACTTGTACGATGGTATCTTTGAAGGTACAAATCACCGAATCATGTATACTGTGAGTAACTCACAATGATCTCATTATTCTCAAAATACTTCTGTTGGTTTTACCGTGGTTATTAATGTTATTAATGTTTTTATTGCATTTAAGGTAATTTTCGAGGATGGTTCGCAACTCGTATTGAAGCGAAACGAGATTTATAGCTTACAGGAAGATATGCCAAAAAGAGTGCGTTCACGTTTGGTGAGTTTAGTGTTAAACTAATTTATCTGCGAGAATACTTTCGGTTAGGAATTCCTTTAAAACGATTCACCTTACTTTTTTTTTATTTCTGTCGTATTTTTATTTATAATTATCCATCTCCTCGACCTTACGTTGATTTTTTATTATTTTAATTGATTTCATTGAAGTCTGTTGCGACCGAAATGAAGCACCGGTATCATCTGTACGGCACGGAGGATGAATCGGAGGCGCAAAGAAAGGTGAAACAGTCTAAATATTGTGATTAAAAAGAAAACAAACGAAATTATACACGGTTCACTGTAAATAATTAATAGAGACGAATAATATTCAATTGCTGTACATAATATGTATCAATAATTGTACCTAATAATTTGGTCTTTTCTAAGCTTATACGCGTTTTGAAATAGACCAGATCAATAGATTTTATTTTTTCTCTCTTCATCTTTGTTTCTTTTTTCGTTTCTGTTTTTCTTTTCTTTTTTTTTTCTTTTTTTCTATTTTAATGTTTTAACTCACCGATAGTTTTATCGAAATCACACTTCCGTGTTTCAAATAAGTACGTCATTCGTTTGTTCGTTACATTCGTAATGAGTATTATTAAATTCAGTTTCCATAAGAAAAATGAATTCGCTAGAGATGTTATGTCTCGTCGAGAAAAAGTATTAAAGAAACCGTGGTGTGTTACGGATCATGCGTTGTTCCAATGCATCCCTTTTGATGCTATAAATTAATCACTTTCGATTTTTTAACTATTTATCATATACCTAGGAGATAATGCGAATCAGGATCCTGTCTCATAAAAGAAAGCGTAACATTTTTTCTTATTCCGTAGATTTACATGCAGTTGTAACGATTTGCAGACTTCAGTAAATTATTAAAAATGGTATTGTTCAGCAGATTTTAAGGATCAAAGAAACAATAAAATTTACGCAGTGTATTTCTGTATATTTACAGAATGTGAATAGGGTACGAGATGTTTTTAAGGAATGAATTCTATGTACGTAATTTAAAGCAATTTATTATTTTGTTCTATGAATAAGTATCTGAAATTGAACAGTGTGAAAATTTGTGTTGCATATATTCAGATAAAAAATCACGTTCAGTTGTGATATACAGCTGGAAGCATATGTAGAATTATATCAATGTTTATTGTAAACCACTTTCAGAGGGGTTCAGTAATGGTTCATGATTACATTGTGTACTTCATATACACAATTATAAATAATAGTGCATTACCCTAAAGTACAATTTTTATATGAGAAATTTAATTAATCGATTTACTAAATGAAACAATTTATATTTATATTTCGTCATAGAAATATTTAATGAATTGAAGGTATACTTTAGTGCAAATCTCTCTTTAAATGTTTGTGAATTTTCCAGGACAACTATTGACCCCTTTAAACGTGGCGCATCATGTTATAAGTTATCTTCTCTCTTTTTTTTTTTTTTTTTTTTTTTTTTTTTTTTTCGAGAAGGGCACCGCTAATAGATCACAGTACTAGATGGTGCACGTGTTCATCGGAAAATTGTTTAATGAGCATTTGCAACACAAAACAGTGTGTGCGTGACCGATATCAAAACCCTACCGCCGATCTTTATCGGCGTTAAACTTTCGTGTTAATACTCCTGCATCGTTTCGACACGGTTTCTTACCAACAGTGTTACGCATTTTTGTATGTTTCTCTTGCCTTCCTCGTTTTCTGTGCTGCGTTTATAGTCGATCATAGTCAGAGCAACATAACGGTAAACGTTTTTATGTAGCACTTATATATATATATATATACACAAACCATATATGTATATATATGTGTGTGTGTGTGTGTGTGTGTATAATATATATGGATATTTGTAGAAATTCGTCATTCAAGGTATAGTGTTCGTATGATCTCTTGAAATTCGTTCCCTAGAAATTTTATTTAACCCAAAGCGTGCGTACGCGTGAGGTGAACTGTAATTGTAACTTAAACTTGTGTAATTTATGCAAAAGAAAAAATTATCACTTCCCCCGATCACTTTATAATACCTATCGATTGAATCAGGTCGTGGGAACTGTATTAGCATTCTATCTGTATATGATAGTAATGAAGGAAATACATAACAATGTATCCGAGTGTAGAAACGGATTGGATACAGCGTACAATAAAAGTTAAATATTCAATATAATTTTTTCCCTAT